ATTTAGGCAAGCTTCATTATCTCTTATATAACCCCATTCTATTTTCTCTGATTGCAGCAAAATGAAGATCTATATTTGCAAACAAAAGGTATGATAATGAATTTCAAGCTTTTAACAGCTAGCTTCTTGTCCACCCTACGTTCTTATTTCCTTGTACCAGTCAATGATCTGGTGCATACAGAATTACCGTTCAACAGCAAAGACACATGAAGGCACACTTTACCCCACAACCATGGGATTTTCTTTCCATGAAAGATTTGCCAGAAAGAAATCTTTTGTGCCATTCCTAGAGTCAGTGTAAGATTTTATTTTCCCTTTCTGGGCCTCAGGTTTGACATGCAGAGGGTTAGACAAGTACAGGGTTAATCTTTCACTTCAGATTCTTGTTCTAAACACAGCATCTGAAAAAAAAACTTTTGAGTCCACGTTTTTCACATGGATGGCCAACCAGGAAGCAGTAAAACTGTTTCTAATGGCTCAGGAATCTTAAGACAACCTGTACGTCATTAAAACCATTAGAATTCATATTTAGGAGTCCTGGAACTGCAGCAGGTTGCAAAAACCCTTGCAGGCAATGTATGCTTGCAGCAGTAACAGTTATGTTGATAGATTACTAGCTCCCTTACAACTAATGTTTCCTGCTGTAAACAACTTGACTTTAAACTCAGAGGCTATTCTTTTCATCAACTTAGCTGAAGAAATTGTTCATAGACCCCTACAAAAAGAAGCTAGGATAATCAAGGATATCTACTCTTTATTTTGTTTTATCCTCAGAAATGAGCCTATATTGACAGCAGAAGACACTCTGGGGCCAGCAATCTCTGTTCTACTTGCTTGTCAAACCATTTCTCAACACCAATAATCCTTAGCTGATACTGGCCTTGTCCATGCCTGTTTTCTCACAATTCTACTTCATTTCTAACCTAACTAAACCCACAAGCATTGTACTTACTCTAATATTTCATTATATTCAATAGTTTCTTCCAAATTCTGCAGGTTGGGGTTGACGCTACGTATCGCTCGCATATATGCTTTCAACAACTGAATGTCACGCTTCTGCAGGAACCAGAAAAAAGGTGGAAAATTAAGCAAGATCACACACAGTGAATAAATGTGAAGCCAGAATCCTAGCTGGGAACTAATGCTAAGATGATATTCTCAAGATTCGCACCTCTAAATTAAGCACTGATTTCAGGATGGCAAAACACTGCTATAGCAGAAGCAAACAAAAGAACAAGATCTTAAATACACAGAGATGAAAGCTATATTGTTTTTCTCCAGAAGACCTGAGAGAAACTTGCTTTTAAAAATTCCCAGATTTCTGCAAACCCAAGGCAGTACTATGTAGGAGACTACTGAAAAATTAGGAAGCATCTGATGTTACAGGATTATTGCTAAAGCTAAGAAGTGTGGTCTTCTCACTTCTCTTGGAAGGGGAGGCTAACAGGAATCCCACCTCATAATGGCATCTTCTTTCTAAAGAAAAAGGGAATATAATAAACATGTACTATAGACAGTCTTGGCAACTAAAAATACAGTTGAAAATATTTATTGAATCCTACTGGTGTTTGTGTAACTTACTGCAGCTTATTGTGATTAATTGATGAGGTGCTGGTGCACACCTTGGTTGTTCATGACCAGTCATGTGACTGAAATGCCCTCAGCACCTTGTTAATTAGCTACAGCAAGTTACCCAAACTTTATGCAAACACCAGTAGGATTTTGGTCATAATTTCTATTTATCCTCACAGCAATCCGGTGAAGTACTTTAGATAGAGATATGGTCACATGAAAAAGTTCCAATAATCTGCCAGCACTGGGAAGAAGTCCTTATTTATTCCTGCAAAAATCACTGTAATTTTGATGAGTAGAGGACTGGGAAAACGTACCACACTTTAAAGATGCTTGAATATAATAATTCAGCTGTAATCTTGACACCTTAGAAAAGAATTTCAAAACTGATCACTGACAACTGACAGTTCTAGTACATTTTTCCTGACGAAAAGCCTATGTAAACAATCAACTATCTATGAGCCCTGGTTTGTACCTGTACTGCTTTTAGATGACAATAGGGTAAATGCATCAATGTTTTTCCTAGCTCCTTAGGATGATGAAAAATTAATGAAAATGAGACTGTCCTACTTTGGGCACATCATGAGAAGCTAAGACACACTGGAAATGACAATACAGTAATATTAGGAAATATGAAATAGACTGACACAATAAAGGAAGCCACAGTCTTGAGTTTGCAAAAGCTGAGCAGGGTTGTTAACAATATGACAATTTGGAGATCTTAAGTCAGAGGCAACTTACTAATATGTAAGTGTGAACGGGTTCGCTTCCCACCACAGGCAGCCCCCCTGTGGGCGCGACAATAAATATGTAAGTGTGAACGGGTTCGCTTCCCGCCACAGGCAGTGACGGAGGCTGATCATTAACTTGAACAACAGTCTTTTTATTTAACAAACTCTCACGTTCCACAGTTTTGAACGGGTCCATCAAGCTTAATTCTGGCAGAACTTTGTAATTTTTAACTCTCAGCTCGGGCGTTGTCCACACGCTTCTTACATCAGGGCTGGCCCAAACCTCTCGCGATCCGTCATCGGCCTCAGTGGTGTGGTCCGGACCGCACATATAGTCCCACAACAGGGGTGCCTCGCCAGTCTCCCTCGGGTTGTGTTGCTGGACCAAAAAGGGACTGGGACGAATCACCCTCCATCCCCCAGGGTGGTTGCGGGAGTACACGACCAATGTCCATTCCAGCGCCTTAAGGATTCCCTCTCCAACTCCTTTGCCTACCGGATCCGGCAACAGCCCTCCTCCAGTGTGAAGGTTGGGAAAATCTTTTAATAGCCCGGCCGCGGCCGCGAGTTCTACCATAGGCTCTGTCTGAACCACTTTCTCCACTTTCTCACCTGGCCGCTCTGTCATTATCTGAAAAGCCCGCACATTTTCCCCTTCATTTAATATCTCCTCCCACGTGATTAGATCTCGCTCCTCCCGCTCTTCCTCTGCCAGGCAAACCTCTAATGCCCGTCTCTCTGCTTGCCCCTCCGTCTCTATTTCTACTAACACTCCCTCTACACAGCTGCAGTCTTCTTCAGGCTCCGATACCTGGGAGGAAGGCACACTAGTTCTCTCCTGCTCACAACAACAATAATTCCCTAACATCAGCTTTCAGCAAGTCCAATTGCTGAAAGAACCACTTTGCATGTATAATGTCAACTTAGATGCAGGTTAAGATTATATACCCACATTTGGCATAGGAGCTCATGACACTTAGCCTAAGGAATCTGGGGAAGAAAATCTATTCTGTAAGAAACCGAGAAAGAGTTGTCTCACAAGTCTGACTGCTATGCTACTTGAAAACATACTCCTAAAACAAAAACCAGTGCAATTAAAGAAGGGTATCTCCTTAGCTGCAATGTATGTTTGGTAACGTGTAGAGTCCATCACAGCATTGTAGTGTAGCTATAGAAGAAGTCACAACTAGGAGTGAGCTTCAAAAGGTCAAAAATCTCTAGAAACATTCAACATGTCAGTGTACCATTGACAGATGTAATTACATTGCATGTCTGAAATGCCAATCTTACCATCACAAAAATTTAACAGCATCTACCAATTGTCGTACAGTACTCAGAACCCAGTAAACCCCAACTGTAGGGAAGTCGCTGCCTGCTAATCCTTCAAACTGAAGCTGAAAGAAAGCTGGGACAGAAGCCTATGCCGATATCACCATATGACAGCTCTGACAAGAGGGAGATGAGGGCTGAGTTATTCTTTTCTCCATCCATCCCCGCATCTGTGACAGCAACAGTGTCTGACTAAATGGCAAATCTGCCAACAGTGAGAAGGAAAAAAGGTATGACCCAGTGCCAACGGTTCTGCTCACCATGTCAATTTTACATGCTTCCCTGAAGGATGTTCCCCTGAAATAATCTAGCCCCAAGTGGACCACTCCCTAATCCCCTTAAGAGGATGCTCAATTAAGGTCCGTTCATAATTATGGAGCAATGCTTCTTCCTCTTGGCGGAGTCCCTATGCCTTTCAAAGCTGCACAACAGGCAAGCACAAAAACAGCCTCGGAAAGCCTGAACAAAGGTCCATCTAGCAAAGCGTTTGCCTTCTCATAGCAGCCAGGCAGGTGCTTCTGCAAGTTCAGTAAAGCAAAGCAAAGCAATGTTGTTTACCCCATAGTATTTAAAGCACTCTCTGTGCAGTTTACATTTTAATTATGCAGGTTATGCATCCTTCCCCACCAGCTGGGTACTCAGTTTACTGACATTAGAAGGATGGAAGGGTGAGTCAACCCTGAGCCAACTACAGTACCTGAGCTCATCAGGACTGAACTCAGGTTGTGAGCAGAGTCTTGACTGCAGCACTAGCAGGGCTGGAAGGCAATAGTCCTTGCCTGCAGATGGCTCGAAGTGATTCGTAATGTAAGGTATACTGCCCCTTAACTTCAGTCATTCTAGCCAGGCACATGGCTTCTAAAGGCATGGTATGCCTCCCAAAACAAAGGGATACATCCAGTTCTGCATAAAGTTTGTTACAGCTTACCCTTGATCCCTTTTTCATCATTCCTGCATTTCCTCACAGTCTGCTTTCTTCAGTCTATGGCTTTTGGCCAGCATTTACACCTCTTCCACTCCAACTTTCCTTTTAAATAATCTACTGCTTCTGTAGGCACGTCTAATCTCTCCCCCACCAATGTCTCTGGCTCCTTTTCTTGCTCCTTATACCATAAATGATGTCCTTCATTTAGTGTCTCAGTCTCAGGTCTTCAGTCTTATTAACTTCCTCACCTCTTAAGACTTCTGGTCATTCAGTCTGCCTGCTTTACCAACACAGCATCTCAAGTCACCATGTGTGAGTTTAGTTCTAGATAGGCCATCTCTAGCCAGACCAGGGGAGACTGCCTGGAAGTATTTGATACCGTCCCACTTTATTAGCACTGGGAAATTAATTAAAACTCAGGTCAGTATATGGCTTTGCTAGCAGAATGTTACAATCAAGGCATGGTTACTGAGAGGGACACACAGTCAAGGAATCAACTTTGAGTTAGCGGTTGCCATCTGGTGACCCTTATTCTAGAATACATTACATTAGCTCAGCTAATATGATACAGTAATTATTTTAATAACTTTAAAAAGGCTTTTGCAAAGGACAAAGTGAATAACTCACCCCAGTTCTCTAAGAAAGCAAGTTAAAATAATGAATCACACAAGGCAGACTGTCCTTTAAGTTAGACATGTGAGAGAGCTCCAAGGAAACCATTACCTGTTCTGCTAATTGATGCTTATGTTCTACTAAGGTCTTTTCCAAATCAGCTATTCTTGTCTGTTGCTGCTGCACCACTGATCGCAAATGCTTGATACAGTTATGATTCGGCAACTCATCTTTGGGCATTTCCAAACTGCTCAGGAAAAGAAGGACAAGTATTGAGAAGTGAACACAAACAAGCATAAGCACTGAATGTGTTCAAAAAGAAACATAATTAGATACCCACAACCTCACGCTTTAGCAAGCAGCTATGCTCTAAGCAAAATACCAGTTCCCAACTGCCAGTACTAAGCAATTTAATCACTGCATGTCTCACGCATCATAAAAGCCATCCATGGAGAAACAGCCTTTCAGATGGTACTAGCATCATCAGAGGTGAACCAGTGGGACCCTCCAGATGTTTCTAGCATACAACCCCCATCAGTCCAGGATTACAGGCCCTGTGGTCTAAAATGTTGCCCACCCCGATGTAGGTGAATTGTTGCTTATCAATAAGTCAGACTAGATATGCAGAACCTCCAGCTGACAGGAGGTCTCCATCTGGCCTGCTAGCTTCCTAGATAAGAAAAGCCTTTCGTCAACAGTGAGAAATAATACCTTCCATCTTATACTACAACGATGTATTCAAAAGATTCCAAAGGAGCTTTTCAAAGCCTGGATTACAGGAGGGGCCATTTTTGTGAAGGCATTGTTATGGCAAAGAAGACAGCAAGTGTCTTCTCCTGCAAAAGTGCCCCTTTCCTGCTCCAACGAGACTTGAACTTCTGCCCTGGGCAAAGCAATGAATTATGAGGCCACTACAGTGACCCGGGCCATAATGTGCCTAAATTCAACAATACTCACCCACATCCCTGTTCGCAAGTCACAGGCCGCTTTGGATTGTGTTCGCAGTCGTTGAGGTGAGACATCAGGTTATCCAGCCGCACTATGGCAGTACAACCAAACACAGCGTTGTCACACGTTATCTGCAGCTTAGACAGCATATTACGCATGATCCGGGGAACAGGACGCAGGTGAGCCACAGTCACAACACTTCGGTCCACAGGACAGGTCTGCTGTTGGGAGAACCACTGAGTGATACAGGCATTGCAGAAAGCATGTTCGCAATGAGGAGCCTGTGTAGAGAACAGAGCAAGGCATGCCAATTCAGGTTACATCAAGTTCTTATTACTGGATTGCTGTCTGTGGCCATGCAGCCTCTTTCACTGGAAATGCATGCCACTAATAGCAGCAAGGGTTGGAAGGAGAACAGAACAGTCGCCAATGATTTAAACCCGAGCTATCAATAACACTAGATCACATGTAAGTCTCTGCAAGTGGCTCTAACTGACAAGACTAAAGCAGCAGCACAAGAGAACTGCCACAAATGAAGACCTGAAAGTTACCTACCACAGTTCTTCATGTCAAGAGCGAAACCTCTATACAGTGGTGCCCCGCATAGCGACGTTAATCCATTTCAGGATTAACGCCACTATCCGGATTCGTCACTATGCGGCGGGAAAACCCCATAGGAACGCATTAAACTCTGTTTAATGCGTTCCTATTGGGGAAAAACTCACCGCTATGCGGGGAATCCTCCATCTGGCTGCCATTTTCGCCGCCAGGTAAGCAAGGGCAGGGCGCAAAAATGCTGTGGGCAGCCATTTTGTTGACCTGGTGGCCATTTTGGATCAGCTGTTCCCAAAACATCACGAAACGCTTACCGATCATCACAATGCGACGTTTTGCCTATTAAAACATCGCAATGCGATTGCATTAGCGATCGGAAAAAAACGCATCGCTATGCGGATTCGTCGTTAAATGGTGCGCTCGTTAAGCGAGGCACCACTGTACTTAGTATCAACATCTATCAGCTATTTTACATTCTAATGGAACAAGCAGACAGTAATAGGAGATGCATATCCACACCTACGCATGGACCACAGAGCTAGCCTCTCTCACAGTAACCCATACTTGCATTGCGAACAAATCAATAAAACCACCCTGAAGACTTAAATCCCATGAAAAATGAATTTGAACTGTTTGAAAAACAGTCCCCTGTGAGACCATTGGTCCTGATCCCATCCCCCACACAAAATTCTTATAATCATGGTCAGTTTTACGACTTAAATATATTTTGTGATTTCAAAAAGTGATGGATACTTACAACCTAGGACAACTAACATAGCTCCTCCCTGTAAACTAGCTGCATTAACTATTTGATCTGTGGTGTAGAATAACTGGTCCTATGAGATATTGTTCTAGGCTGTGCTGCTCTAGAGAGAATTATTCACATATAAAAGCACTTTACTAGCTCCCTCAGGCTTTTGCTGGACATCTGCTGCATGAAACCCTCCTACACTCAGCCTATACCGGATGCTCCTAAATCAGTCAGTGGGAATGGTCAACGACAGAGCATCAGAAGCCTACAGCAAGTTTCAGACTTTGCAGCTGAAATGACAAAATGTCTGCTGAAGTGTGCTCCTGCACTTGGACCATAATATGAACACAACAAATGAACAGTTTAGGTTACCCAAGAGCCTCTCATCTGTTAAGTAAATCACACAAACACTCAGGAATTAGAATGCAGTGAAATACAACCACTGTTTTTTCTTTGCTACACAGTACAGTGTTACCAAATCATGAGGCAGCCAACCACGTTGCCTTTGCCCACTAATTTATTTCTATATAAAAAGAAATACAAGAAAAGAGCTCAGCCCTACCTACACTCCTGTGAAATTGCCTCCTTTCTGATAAATCTAAGCTGCCGATTAGATGACTGGTCATTACATTAAGCAGAATGATGCAGCTGCCACAAGCAACAGGTCTGAGGTACCATGAAATACAGCAACTTGCTAGAGATCCAATTTGTTATTTAGTTCATGTTTACTTTATTTTTACTACCAGAAATGGGGAAGAGGCATTTATGGTAATTTCTTTTTATTGTGCCGACAGGCAGGATGCACCCATTAGCAAAATGTCTTGAACTGCTCCTGGCAGGGTGGATTTGATTTAATTTAAATTTTAAAAATCAGGTGAGTTTTTTTGAAAATGTAAATTTAAAAAATCTATTTTCTTGATTTAAACCAAGATTTAAATCAACTTGATTTTTTAAAAATATTTTTATCCACTCTGGCTTCCGCCACTTTCCCACGTATGGGGAAAGATAAGGCAAATAGGAAAGTGCAGCTAAGAGTCACACAGGCAGGAAAGGGGTGGGGAAGGGGAGTGTCAGCCACAGACTGCACTGTGGTTGACACCAGGAAGGAGAAGGTTTAAGAATCATAAGCAGTGTAAGTGAATAAAGGAAATAAACCTCCTCCTCGAGGCAGAGGTGCTGCTGGGTGTCAGATTAAACTATGAGCTGCGGTTGCACATCCCTACTTTAAACAGTAGACACAAACTACCAGTTTTGCGTCCATGCCATCAATGAATGTTACTGCTTGTTAAAAGGGATGTGAAGATGATGCTATCTAGTAAGTCATGCCAAAATAAAATATCTAGTGCCTGTTTTCTATGCCTGCACAAAACACTCGATGAATTATGATCAGAAATGGGCATGAACCGCCGGCATGAACAGGTTTGTGCCTGTTAGCTGGTCGGCGGAACAGGTGTTTGGTGCTTTCCAGCCCCACCTCTTCCGACGGGTGACCACTCAGAGGCAATGCTCAGAGGAGGCAGGCAAGAAAGCCTCAATGCTACATGTCAAGTGGGTGCCTGAGAGAGGAGGTGAGGCTGGAACGTGTCAAACACCTGTTTGGCCGACCAACAAACCAGTGCGAGCCATGAACCAGCAGCTTGTGCCCCTCTCTAATTATGATTTGTCAGCTCATTTTTTAATACTGTTATAGAATCTTTATTTTTTGGCACAAATCAAAATACAATTCAAGCATTGCAACAAAAGCCATTATAGCACAGCACACAATTAGATCATGCCTGTAGCACATGCCTTTTGACTTTTACCCTAATCCATAGAGCCAGTGTGTTTACAGTCACGGAGAGAAAAGAGCAGCTGCCAGCCCTAATCCAGTTCACATCTTTTCACATTAACAAAAAGACAAAATCTAAAAAACCCCAAAAGAGCACTTTCCACTCTTGGGAAGTATGTTATCTTCCTTTCAAACCATGTATTGGCTGAAATTCAGTAATATGTTGCAGCTAGAATACGAGGGGGTGCTGATAAGTATTGAGCCTTTCCCAGAAAAAACTGAGCTGGGAAACTATAAATTGCAGGATGTATTGGCCAATTTGTCTGTATTCAATAGTGCAAAATCAACGACCTATGACTGTAACTGATCGTTCATGTTCAGGTCCAAAGTGAACATAGCAGCACCTCCAGAAAAGTTCAATGTGGAAGAGCATAGGACCATATTCAAGTTCCTGTTTCTCCATGGGAAAGGTGCAAAGCAGATCCATGATGAAATGTCACAAACTATGGGTGACAGTGGCCCTTCATATGCAACAGTTAAATGTTGGGATGTCAGTTTTAAAACTGGCCATTTCAGTGTTGAAAGTGAGAAACCCAATGGAAGGCCTGTTTCTGTCTCTGTGCCTGCAAATGTGAAAGCCATCCATGACATGATCATGGGGGACCGCCGAATATCAGCCAAAGGTATTGCTATATATATCACATGAGAGTGATATCACATATATCACTCTCTCTATATATATATCACATGAGAGTGAATATCACATGAAAGTGAATATCACATGAGAGAGTTGGTGCCATTATCCACGACGACTTGGAAATGAGAAAGCTGGCAGCAAAGTGGATACCCAAACTTTTGACAACCAAACAAAAGAGGAAATGGTGGAGTCATTGGTGGCTGTTTTGGAACATTTTGCAAGAAATGAGTCAGATTTCCTGGGCAAACTGGTAAGTGGTGATGAGACACGTATCTACTCTTATGATCCTGAGACAAAGGAACGGTCTAAGGCAGTGGAGGCAAACCTTTTTCAGCTCAAGTACCCAAAATGAGGGGGTGGGAAACAACTAGTGGTTGCTGTGCTGCCCAGAAGACCAGAACCGGAAGTGGCAGTTTGAGGGGGAATCATGGGGATGGACAGGAAGTTAAAGAGGGTATCATAGGGACAGACAGGAAGTTAAAGGGGGAATCATAGGGATAGACAGGAAGTTAAAGACCCAGAACAGGAAGAGGAAGAGGGAATCCCAGTTGCAGCCACTTCAAAAGGTTTGTCGCATGCCAGAAGAAAGGGCTTCGCGCACACGTGCCATTAGGTTCGCCATCACTGGTCTAAGGAATGAAGACACAGTGCTTCCCCCAAGCCAAAGAAGTTCCCAGTGCAAAGGTTGGTGCAGAAGCAAATGGCAAGAGTTTTTTGGGATAAGAAGGGAGTTCTGCTGGTGGACTACCTCCAACAGGTAAATATTACTGCAAATATTACTGTGCTTTATTGACGAAGTTGAGGCAAAACATCAAGGGAAAACATCGAGGAAAGCTCTCCAAAGGTGTCATCCTGTTGTGTGACAATGCCTCGTCACACACTGCAGGTGAAACAATGGCAAAACTGCCCCATCCACTCTATTCTCCCAACCTGGCTCATTCTGACTATTATCTTTTCCCCAAACTCAAAAAACACCTAAAGGGACAACAATTTGGGAGTGTTCTGGAGGCAACTAATGCTGCAAATGAGTGGTTACACCAGCAGTCGGAAGAATTTTATTTACAGGGACTAAAGAAGCTGCAGGGCAGATGTCGCGAGTGCACTGACTTCCTGAAGGAATATGTACAATAATGTGGCAGTTACAGCTTCCTAGCTCAATTTTTTTTTTTCTGGGAAAGGCTCAATACTTATCACCACCCCTCATAGGCCTATTAAATCAATGCAATTTACATAGGTTTTGACTCACCAGATCCTCAGTGATTCAATGGGACTATTTTGGCTGTGACTTGCTACTGGATTCCAAACATTTGTTGCAGAACCCAATTGCTTAAAGTGCTATTAAACAGACAGTTACCTTTATGACCTCACTTTCCAACAACTAAACATTCTCAGTGGTCACTAGGGAAACAAGAGCACAATGTCAACTGGATTAGGACTTTCATGCCAGTGTCAATCACTTTTTAATATGTATTCATGACTCCCTGATAGCAATTCTATTTTGAGTAGTATT